CCGGCCCCCGGCCCCCGGCCCCGAGCGCCCTGCGCGCGTGCAACTCTTTGCAGCCAGTTTACAGCCTGGGTTCTAAAGTACTCCGGGAGCAGGACTGGGGAGGCGAGGGGGAGGCTGCTGCCGGGAGCGGGAAGGGGTGGAGCCGAGCTTCTCCGGGCGCAGGGGGAGCTTTCCCTCAGGTGCTTACTCTGGGGGCCTGCAGATGGAGCCGTGGAGTGGGGCGCCGCTGGAGCGCATCCCCAAATCCTGAATGCGGCGCCCGCCTGTTGCTGGAAAAGGCAGCTTCCTTAGCTGCAGGGGTGCGCCGACCCTCCCCCTCTGCCTCCCGCCTGGGCCTCGCGCCAGGCTGGAGGTGAGCAGAGGGGGAGGGACAGCGGCTCCCGCGCCCGCTGGGCGTTGGCAGGGGCCCGGGGTTGCGGTGTGGGTCGCCTCAGCGCCCCCGCGGGTGAAGGGATCACAGGTGGCAGAGACGAGAGAAGGAGGGTGCCCAGAGTGGAGGCGTCTGCAGACTTATCTGGGGCACATTCAAGTGGAAGAGCGCCTGGCAGCTCGGAGCTTTTCTCTGGAGCCGCCTAGGAGCCGGGCGCTCCTGTCCACGCCGCCCTTGCGTGCCCCGCGGCGGGTCGCGTGTTTCTCTTGGCTCCTGTTCTCGGTTCCAGCCGCTGTCCGGCTGGGGAGGGGGAGGACTGGGCATTACCCAGTTTGCTGGCCTTCTGCCCGGTGCCAGCCGCGTCCCTGGGGTGCCCCTGGCTGCTGCCTCCCAGGCCTTATTTCTAGGGAAAGGGCTAAATCGTCCCCGCAGCTGCAGCGCCAGCCCCGCCCTGCTCTGCCCTTTCGCTCTGGGAAACAGAGTCAGCCTCAGATTCTGCTCAGTCGGAGCACACCCCACTGGTCCTCCTTGTCCCGGCGCCAGCCCAAGGCATCAACCCAGGCATCCCAGAGTCCAGCCAGATGGTACCAGTGACATCACCTCCTCACAGGGCCGGCAGCACGCTGGCACCACTGACGTCACTCCTGCCCAGTGCCTGGCCCTTGCCCCGCCCCCCCGGGGAGACTGACCCCTCCGAAATCACTGGACTCCTAGGCTGGGGTCCCAAGTGTGGGTGTGGACTGCTCATCGAGATCAGTTTGGGGAGCATGAGGAGAGAACTTCTGGCCAGAGCTGGGCCACTGTGTCTGGTGGGGCTTTCGGGGAGGGGATTTTGGGGGGCAGAGGGTAGCATAGTGACGTCTTCCCTGGAGGTGGGGACACAAAGGAGCCTGTGTGCCCCAGCCTGGCACATGCCTTGCATTCCCACCCTCTGAGCTCACTGGGAGAGGAGGGGGCCGGGAGAAAAGGAACCTTCCTCCTGGCCCAGACCCAGGTCTGCCCCTCAGCCCCTCGGCCAGCCTCATCTGGGAAGTGCTGAGGGCTCAGTCCCTGCTCCACGGGTCAGGGATCCCCTGCCCTGGGAGAGGGCTGATCCTGGAGAGGTGCAGGGAGCTGTAGAGGACTAGCAGGGGACAGGGCCCTCTTCAGATCCTCCGAGTGGCCGGCAGAACAGCTGCAGGGAGCAGACTGAGGGCAGCCCGTGAGCAGCAGCTGGAGCTGACGCCACCGCTGGGGTGCACCTCTCCCCGGCCCCTCTCCCCGGGCG